GAAGAGGAGAAGGTGGAAAGGGGTAGAGAAGTGTATTTGGAGCTGCAAATGAAGTAGCCCACGTGTGATCCCATCCTCTGCCTTTTGTCGGAACTCAGAATAACCTGTGGAGTCCTTGGTGCTCTCTGAGCTTGGTTGTTTTCTTGCAGACATTTGATTGCCCAACTAGGTAACATCAGTGCTAGAAGGGGGTGGGGCTTGTGGAGAAGAAGAGGAGGAGGAAGATGAGGAGCTGTGGGGTCCTTGGTGCTTTCTGAGCTTGGTTGTTTGCTTGCAGACCTTTCATGACCTAACTAGGTTACATCATCAGTGCTAGAAGGGAGAGGTTTGTAGAGAGGAGGAGGAGGAGGAGGAGGAGGAGGAGGAGGAGGAGGAGGAGGAGGAGGAGGAGGAGGAGGAGGAGGAGGAGGGAAAAAAAGAAGAGGAGGAGGAGGACTGTGGGGTCCTTGGTGCTCTCTGAGCTTGATGGTTTTGTTGCAGACCTTTCATGACCCAACTAGGTTACATCATCAGTGCTAGAAGGGAGAAGTTTATGGAGAGGAGGAGGAGGAGGAGAAGGAAGAGGAAGAGGAGGAGGATTAAGAAGAGGAGGAGGAGGAAGAAGAAAAAGAAGAAGAGGAGGAGGACTGTGGGGTCCTTGGTGCTCTCTGAGCTTGCTTGCAGACCTTTCATGACCCAACTTGGTTACATCATCAGTGCTAGAAAGGAGTGGGGCTTGTGGAGAGGAGGGAGGAGGAGGAGGAGAAGAAGGAGGATTGTGGAGTCCTTTATATTCTCTGAGCTTGGATGTTTCCTTGCAGAAATTTCATTCCCAACCAGCTAATATCAGTGCACTGATGATGTCACCTAGTCGGGTCATGAAACATCTGCAAGAACGCCGCCAAGCTCAGAAATTCACCGTTCAAATATGCTCTTCTATCGCTATCGGAATAACCTTCCCAGCTCCAAAAAACGAGCCGCGCCATCCACCTCTTTCTTGGTCACCTGTCACCTGGTAGAAACCTCCCAGCAAGCCTGTGCCAAGGATCCCCCAGCTGGTTGCAAAAGGAACTTGGAAATGTTGCAGCTGGAAAAACCGCCTCGTGTTCCCACCGCAGGGAAAAAGGTCTCTCCCGACCTCAGTCCCTGCTGTCCTCTAGCTCGGAGGGGACCAGGGACCGGTTCTGTGGAGAGAGGTTTTTCCGTGGACTGGAGGGTGTGTGGTTTTGTGTCCTGCCTGCATCTCACGGATGGGGCTTTGCTTGTTTGTGTGGACCGGTTGCTGGCATGCCACGGCCCGGTACCGGTCCACAGACCTCTGCTCTAGCCCATGGTGCATTGCATTGTGGGGAGGGGGAAGTCACGTTGCATTGCATTGTGGGGAGGGGCAAGAGAGGTAATCTAGGCCTCCCCAAATTCCCTTGCTTCTAAGACCTGCAGCCGGCAGCCCCGTGGTTGACACCCTGGGACTGCTTCCGTGTAATGAATTCCATTCGGAGGCCTCTGGTAGTGCAGACATCAAAGCTGCAGCCTCTGCGGAGAGACGCTCATTATCACCAGGAAGTGCTGAGAGCTTTTGAAGATAGAAAGAGGAGGAAAGGAAACTGTTTTCACAGCCACTGGGGTGTTTCTATGTGAATTGGACATGACACACTGAAACAGAAAATGGAAAAACAGGGGGCCAAGTGGAACAAGGGCTAGATTGGGGCAGTTTTTGGGTACTCGGTCTCTAAAAGGTTCGCCATCACTGGTGTAGGGTCTCCTCCTTGAGCAGGGGGTTGGACTAGAAGACCTCCAAGGTCCCTCCCAGCTCTGTCATTCTTATATTTTGAGTTAGCCCAGTGGTTCTCAACCTTTTTAATGCCGCGACCCCAACCGGTCGTAAGTCGAGGACTAAACCGGTCGTAAGTCGAGGACTAAACCGGTCGTAAGTCAAGGACTTTCCCTGCCCGGGAGCGCCGCGCATGCGTGGTTCTGCCCCCTGCGCCGGCCGAGGCGTAGCTGGCAAGCGGCAGAGACGGAGCAGGCCGACCAGCTGGCCCAGCCCAAGGGAGGTAAGGCACCCGCCGGAAAAGGGGGGAAAAATGGCGGACAAAAAAAATGGCGGACTGACAGCCTTGCTTGGCGACCCCCGTGAAATGGTCGATCGACCCCAAATGGGGTCCCGACCCACAGGTTGAGAACCACTGAGTTAGCCAAAGGCTTAGGAACCCTGTCTTGTCCAAGCTTTTCCTCCCAATTCATTGCACCGGCCCTTCGTCCACTGGATTGGAGCGGTCAGCCGGGTCATCTGCCCGTTGTCACAAAGCAGAAGGGCCAGTAAAGCGTGTTGCACAAAGCAAACTTGAGGGTCGTGCGAAACCCTGGGAACGGGGCAGGCTCCCCAGTGCACCACATAATTGGGAAGCTGGCTGAGCACTGAGCCAATTGTGCGCTCGTGATTGTATTGTTCTCCGTCGGAAATGTGTCAGGAGACGGTGATTATTCCACCGAAGCTTCTCCATTTCTGCCAATTTGCTGCTATTCTACCGAGGACGCCTACTAGAAAAAAAAATCAAACAAAAGGGCCTGCGTTCCAGAACTGCATGGGGGGGGGAGGATTCTGTTTTTATATTTTATCTGATCATTGCCTTCCCCAAAAAAAGAACACTGAGGTGGCCGGCAACAGCTTCCTGCTCCTCTTTATCTTCCCAAACAGCGGCCTTCATTCCTTAACATCAGAAATAAAGGGGACGGTTCCTTTCAGCTCTTTTGTGGGCTCCAAAAAAGCCTGTCACGTGTCCCTTAAAACCCCTCACAGGGTAGCCAGGCAGACTATCTGGATGGTTTCCTTGGGAGGGAGGGATAGGGAGGAAGACCGTGGTTGGCATTTGAAGGAAAGGGAAAAGAAAACGACACTTGGTACTTTTGAGAGAGGAAGGAAGGAAGGAAGGAAGGAAGGAAGGAAGGAAGGAAGGAAGGAAGGAAGGAAGGGGAAGAGAGAGAGGGGAAGAAAGAGAGGCAGAGAAAGGGGGAAAGCAAGGAGAGAAAAAGAATGTGTGTGAAAGAGGAGGGAGGGGGAAGGGAAGGGAAGGGAGGAAAGAAATGAGGGAGAGGGAGAGAAGGACAGAAAGAAGAAATGAAAGGAGGGAGGGAAGGAAGGAAGGAGAAGGGAAGTGGAAAAAATGAAAGGGAGGGAAGGGAGGAAAAAATGAAAGGGAAGGAGGGAAGGAAGGAAGGGAGGAGAGGAAAGAAATGAAGAGGGAGGGAAGGAAGGGGAAGGGAGGACAGGAAAGAAATTAAGGCGGAGAGAGGGAGGGAAAGAAGGAAGGAAGGAGAAGGGAAGAGGAAAAATGAAAGGGAGAAAGTGAAATGAGGAAAAAATGAAAGGGAAGGAAAGGAAAGGGAAGGGAGGAGAGGAAAGAAATGAAGACGGAGGAAGGGAAGGAAGGCAGGAAGGGGAAGAGAGAACAAGAAAGAAATGAAGGCAGAGGGAAGGAAGGAAGGAAGGAAGGGGAAGGGAGAACAAGAAAGAAATGAAGGTGGAGGGAAAGAAGGAAGGAAAGGAAGGAAGGAAGGAAGGAAGGAAGGAAGGAAGACCTACACTACTTGTTTGCCTTTCCGAGGATGATATTCTGTGTGCAAGAGGACTTTTGCCCCTTAATATCTTCTCCAAGCACTGCATTCTGTCTGGAATCCATGACGAATTGAGATTTACCAATTCGGCTCGCCAGGCTGTGAAATTACAGGAGGGTTTCATTTGGAAGGGGCAGGTTTCCAACACACGACAGTTCCGTGTCTGTGTCTGTATTTGGAATCTTGTCTTTTTATTTGGTGAAGTATTTAAAAGTTGGTTTCCCATCACTTAGTCCTTCATTTTGCATTTTGGCTCACGTTTCCCTTCTTTCTCGTCTGACCTTCCAGGGACGGCTCGTTGGTTTTTTTTTTCAGATTCCTCGATGGCCACCTAGTGGCCACACAAGGAAAGACTTCAGCTCTATTCAGAATCAACGAACTAGAGCTGCTATTATTATTATTATTATTATTATTATTATTATTATTATTATTATTATTATTATTATTTGCTGAAAAGACGGTGTTGTAAACAGGAGAGAGGTGGCATCGTATCCCCCCCTCTGTTGAGAGAGGACTGTTCAATCAGTTTACAACAGAGTCCTTTCAGCAGTTCCAAGAAGATTCCACATCCCTTTGCGCTATTCAGGCGACCTGAGAATACAGATAAACATCCAAATGGCCTCAACGGCTCTCAGAAAGAGTACTAACAGCCAGACGACTGCAAAGAATATAAATCCTTCCATCCACCCCCATTAAATCAGAACTGAAGAAGCTTCTTGGAAGAGAAGCAAAGCATCTTCGAGTAAAAGCAAAGTGCAATTGCCTTTTGGGGAAAAAAAAGTCCCACACTTTTGGGACAGAACAGTAAAGGGTTGTTTCCCTCAAATAAGCTAACGCCGCTCTTCTCGCAGAAGCCAGAGTCAAAACTTAAATGTTACGTCCTCCTTTATCTTTTTAGGCTTTGAGTTGCTTTACCAGCCCGAAGTCGTGCGGCTCTACCTCTCCATTCTCACCGAAAGTCAGAATTTCAATACTTTGGAAGCAGCAGCCGGCGCCCTCCAGAATCTCAGCGCAGGAAACTGGACCGTGAGTGAAATCTGGGTGTTTGGGCTATTTTTCGTGGAAATGTATTTCCTCCGTTTGCTTGAATGACGTGCGGGCAGGCTTAAGAGAGGTGGACTTCAATCCCCAGAGTTTCCCAGCCTACGCTGACTGGAGAATTCTGGGAGTTGAAGTCCCTGTGTGTCTCCCAAGTTTCCAAGGTTGAGAAGACACAAGTTTAATGCCATTAGAATATAGCCGCCTTTCTTAGAGATCCAGGTTCAGTCAAGCTCTCCTCACTTGATACTCTCGAAATAAGTCAACCTTAGACTTACTACAAGGTTCTTTCTATAATAGTGTGGATCAAACGTTCTAGAGCCATGGACCACTCAGTTAGCAGGGTCCATCTTACTAAATTAAACACACGCAAGTTGTTCTTTTCTCTTCGGGAGCATGAGAGTTCACTTTACTTGGTTGGCTGGTTCTTTCCCTTCCCTTCTGCTCCCCTCCCCTTCTGCTCCCCTCCCCTCTCCTTCCATTCTGCTCTCCTCCTCTTCCCTTCCATTCCATTCCATTCCATTCCTTTCTGCTCCCCTTCCCTTCCACTCTCCTCCCCTTCCCTTCTTCTCCCCTTCTCTTCCCTTCCCTTTCATTCCATTCCATTCCATTCCCTTCCTTTCTGCTCCCCTCCCCTTCCCTTCTGCTCCTCTCCCCTTCCCTTCCCTCCCCTCCCCTTCCATTCTTCTTCCCTTCCCTTCCCTTCCCTTTCATTCCATTCCATTCCATTCCCTTCCTTTCTGCTCCCCTTCCCCTCCCCTTCCCCTCTGCTTCTCTTCCCTTCCCTCCCCTCCCCTTCCATTATGCTCCCCTCCTCTTCCCTTCCCTTCTTCCCAAGGCCTACAACCTGATCCAAACAGCCAACTTGAGCAACGTGCAAATTTTCGTTTTAGTACAGTCAGACTGCAAAATGGATGTCACGCCCAACAAATCAAGGCCAAGAGTACTTGTAACGATATTGGCTATAGTGACAAGAGTCTTTGCAAGTCTGAACGTGCTTCACTCACCCACCCACCCACCCACCCCATACTCATGTGAATTAGGAAGGTGTCTGCCCGAATTGCTTGTGCCTAACCTCTTCGTATTCCGTCTGTAAACCACGTTCTCCCCTTGTCCCTTGGATAATGGATCTGGACAATTATCTCTGTCAAGATCATCTTCCTTCCTCTCTTACACGCCAAGACCTCTAGACCACAAGGCCTAGGAGAAGTCTATTAGCATTCTCTAGCACCCAGGGGAAATTACTCATTTCAGACAGAAGTGACTCACTCTTCCAACCATTGATCAGTTTTGCTAGGAAGAACCGTAACATTGCATTTAGAAATAAAAGACACTAAGCCATCGGCTCTCCCAAGAGACACACTTCCACTTTCCCAAGCTTTGGTCTTTAGAAGTTCTACAACACTATCATGGCCTTCGTTCCTTCCAGAATACAGATTAATCTGGCCGTTTAAGTTTCTGTATGAGTCTGGTAACCCTTCTGTGATGACCCAGGACACAGCACAGAGGCCAAAGAGTCAACTGGCAGCTCAAACCGCCCTTTATTTGCTCCAATTTCCCCCCAAATGCTCCCATTTTTCGGGCAAGCCCCAGAACAAAGTAAGACACACACACACACACACACACACACCTTCAGCAGCCTCTGGCTGCAAGTAGTTTCACATACAGTTAGATTAGAAGAGTAATTTACTCAAGGCCATGTAGATAACAAGGGATGAAACGTACATCCAAAACCTAATGAGTCTGTGGAAATACAAGCTGGCCTGAGCAGTTTCAGAAGAGAAGCCACAATTCAGTCCGAGGTCTTTGAACACCAAATCAAGTTTGTCAGCCAGTCCAATGGGCAGAGTTTCAGGGTTTCCAAGCAGAAATCACAACACAGAACAAGAGATGAGAGAGTTGTTTCCAAGATCAGCAACAGCACACAAAACTCCAAGGAATCAGCATTTGTTCCCGACAAATGCCCCTCCCCACAGTGTCTTCTTAAGTCTCAGTCTCAGGTATGCCTTGTGGAGAGGGGCGGGATGCTCTCCTCCCGAGTAATTGAGCCTGTCCGCGTTGTTCCCTCCTTCTCTCCACTCTCCGTGCTCTAGGATCAGGAGGGGGTGGCCCTTGCTCATCGCCTAAACTCTGTCTCTCTTGTTCATCCTGTCCCAATCCAGAAAGGCCCTGGCCTGCCTCGGCCTGCTCTTCCCCACGTTCCTCTGAAGCCACAGACACCTCTCCCTCGACCTCCATAGGGTCCCGTTCCAGCTCATTTTCCTCTGCAGATTCAGGTATGACGCCTTCTGAGTGGCTGGCTTTTAATCTTCTCTCTTCCTTCTCGAATAAGTGGTCCACGTACATCCGGGCGACGGTGCGAAAGGAACGAGGACTTCCGGTCCTGGTGGAGCTCCTCCAGTCAGATTCAGACAAGGTGGTGAGAGCGGTATCCATAGCCCTACGGAATCTCTCCATGGACCGCCGTAACAAGGATCTCATAGGTGAGTTTTGCAAGGGGAGTGTGGTGCGTGCAAGATCAAGGCTGCCCGTTGCGTTCCAGTTCAGCAAGTTAATTGCTGATGCTTAGATGATGATGATGATGATGACATTACCCATTCAGTTTTGAGTCCAACTCTTGGCAATTCTGCGGGCCGGGTCTCTCCCCATCTTCCAATCTTTGCCCTGCTTCTTTGAGTTGTCCTATGCTCTGGCTGGTGTCAGCTTTGATGGTATCCAGCCATCCAGTGTTCTTGGAAGTAAGACTTGAATAATTTTTGTTTCTTTCCTAAGCCTCATGTCAGGAGGTTTTGTGTGGATAGGCCAGGGGTAGGCCACCTTGGCTCTTTTATGACTGGTGGACTTCAACTCCCAGAATTCCTGAGCCAGCCATGCTGAGGGGAAAGGGAGAGGTTTCCAAGCTGAGCCAGGCTGGCTCAGGAATTCTGGGAGTTGAAGTCCACGAGTCATGAGGGGGCCATAGTTCCCCCATGCTGGCTCAGGAATTCTGGGAGTTGAAGTCCACGAGTCATGAAGGGGCCATAGTTCCCCCATGCTGGCTCAGGAATTCTGGGAGTTGAAGTCCACCAGTCATAAAAGAGCCAAGGTTGCCTACCTCTGGGATAGGCTTACAAGAATCCTTTAAAACGTGGATTCCAAGGCTTCCCCACAGTCAAATATACAGTCGTTTTAAGAACGGGAAGCAGAAAGAAAAGGTGAATGATGTATATTCTTCAAAGATAAGGTGAGATGTTATTGGAACCCGGAACGGACTACAGATAACCAATTTTGAGTTTTGCCATTCATCTATAGTAGGCATGTCAAACTTGTGACGTCATGTGATGTCACGCGATGTATCACAACTTTTCCCCCATTGCCGGCAATGGGGTGGGCGTGGTTTTGACGTGACACATCCGGCCTGCAGGCCGGCAGTTTGACATGCCTGATCTATAGGGTTTCCTCCCTGAGCAGGGGGTTGGACTTGATGACCTCCAAGGTCCCTTCCAACATCATCATCATCATCATCATCATCATCATCATCATCATCATCATCATCATCATCATCATCATCATCATCACCATCATCATTATTATTATTATTATTATTATTGAATATGATCCTGGTTGTGTTCTGGTCTTGCCCATGTTGAGTTTGCCATCTGGAGCATCTCTTTAAAATATCATCGGACCTACCAGCCTTTTTTTTAAAAATCAAAAGAGAGAGAAAAAAAATCACAACGTCGATCATCTTTAAGCAACCGACCGCCATTCCCGCTGAAATAAATGCATAATGGCTAGTATTCCACCAGGACTCGTGTAGTTTAATTGGGCTAATTGCAGTGAAATTTAGAAGAGAGCTAAATTCCCCAAACCAAACAACAAAGGTTAATCGTACGCTGTTTTATGATGGGCAAAAATTTTTAATAAAAATGAGTTTGATGCCAAACGCAAATTAGCTGATGGATCTCAAAAACGTGAGGCTTGTTCAAAAAAAAAAAAAAAAAGCAGCGGGCTTGTGGAGGTTCCTGGAATCTGTTTCAAACTTCTGATCCTAAAATGGTTCTAAACCTCACTGACATTTTCAAGAGAAATGCTGGAAAATGAACTCATGTTGCAAGTACGGGGAGTCCTTGACTAAGGACCGTTGGAACCAGAACTTCCGTCGCTAAGTGAAGCAATCATTAAGTAATCTGATTTTATGACCTTTTTTGCCGTGGTTGTTAAGCAGATCACATAGTCATTGAGTGAATCTGGCTTCCCCTATTGGTTTTGCATGTCAGAACCCAACTGGGAAGGTCACATGACCTCAGCACGATGCAGCCCTTGTCAACACACACCAGTTGCCCACACCCAAATCTTGCTATTTAACTGCAGGGACATTGCTGCTGTCATAAGAGCAACGATCGGTTGTAAGTCCCCTTTTTTTCAGCACCGTCGTAACTTTATACAGCTGCTAAATGAAGAGTCACAAATCAAGGATGTCAGAGCATGCACAGTCTTGTTGCGCTGAGGTAACCCAGGAGTAAATGCAGTACACAGTGGTTTGTAATTAAATGTGGTTTATCACACAATATCTACAAATATAGAAATAAGATAGATACATGTGATGAAACAGCAAACTCCAATAAACAGCAATTACAGCAGTCAAACGGAGGAGAGAGAGAGAAAAATCCAGCAAAAAAACTTCCCTTTTATACTCAGGCTCTTAAAGGGATACACACCCCCGCTGAGTCATTCCTACGATTGCATCATCCACATTGCATCACATCTTTACATAAGCTGTTTAGCTATTCAATTATTATCCTGACAAAGGACTACCTGTAGGGGTTCTACCTTTAACTATAGCTGCCTTATTTTTCAGGTTAATAAAATCGGTTTGCAATGGCAGACACGCCTTCTAATTTTTTTCAGGTAGCTACGCCATGGGGGAACTGGTAAGAAACTTGCCGAGCCGGCAACAGCGATCTTCAAAAAACCTTGAAGAGGACACAATAGTTGCCGTCCTGAACACTATTCATGAAATTATTACTGACAGTTCTGAAAATGCCCGGTCCCTGATCCAGACGCAAGGCGTTCAGAAGCTGGTGGCTATCAGCAAATCCAGGTTCGTATCTGCAAAAAAATAATTCCAGTAATGTACCAAAAATGTCAAGACATATAAGGAGGTGACTTTTAATCACATCATCTGCTCTGTTGTTTCCTAGACTCAGGCACCGGATGTGGTGTAGACTTCAACTCCTAGAATTCTTAGCAAGAGTTGGCCGGCTAGGGGATTCTGGGAGTTGAAGTCCATACATAAAAAAGTGATATTCTGATATTCTTCGCACCAGTGATACGTACAATTATAGTTTAACATCTCAGATTGAGGAGTTTTTATTAGTTTATCAAAGTATAAAATACAAATAAAATGAAAATAATGAGAAAGTCAGGGAGGAAAAAGGAAAGATGGAAAAGTTTAGGGGAGAAGGGGAAAAGAAAAAAAAATGACTTCCAACTCTTTTTAGTGTAATAGGATATCTATTTATCTGTCTGTCTGTCTGTCTATCATCTATTTTTCTATCTATATTATTTATCTATTTTTCTATATCATATATCTTTCTATCATCTATTTTTCTGTCTATATCATTTATCATCTATTTTTCTATATCATATATCTATCATCTATTTTTCTGTTTCTATCATTTATCATCTATTTTTCTATCTATCTACGATATATCTATATCATCTATTTTTCTATCTATATCATTTATCATCTATTTTTCTATCTACGATATATCTATATCATCTATTTTTCTATCTATATCATCTATCTATCTATCTATCTATCTATCTATCTATCTATCTATCTATCTATCTATCTATCTATCTATCTATGATATATCTGTATCTATTATCTATTTTTCTATCTATATCATTTGTCATTTCTCTCTCTCTATCTCTCTGTCTCTCTGTCTGTCTGTCTATCATAAGGTTCTATACTCTATAATATAGTGTAATAGAATAAGGTTCTATGTATCTACATACAGCCTCAACTTTTTACTTTTGCATAATAATATATACTAGCCATTTCTATAACAACAAACCTACCTGATCAGCAAAACCCAAAATCAAAGTTTAGATTTATTTTTTTCCCACCTGAAGCACAAAGCCCAGCAGCGGTTTCCAAGTAGAAATGAAGTTGGTTTGGATTCTTTTCTTGAATTAAAGCAGTGGATTTAGCCGTCTCTGCTAAGTCCGTTAGCTTTTGAAGCCGAAAGTCTCTGGCTGAGTTGCAACATCCCAAGCTTGTAAGATGGATGGTCCTGAAACAAGAAACCCCAAATCTCAGTGGTCTTTTGCATTTAAGAAGCAAGCCCCCCCTTGTCTTTCAGATGAGCATTTAAAACACACGCCATCACCACCCATCTTTAAATCTGCCATAAGCTGGAGTGGACACTGAGGCAAAGTCAATAAGATGAAACCATCAGTCAATCCCCTGGCTTTCTGTGTCAGCGTTGAGCACGCATGAATCAAGCCTCATCCTTTAAGCAAATCCAGACATTTATTGGCAAACAAGGAGATGCTCGTCCTTCGTGAATATGCAGAGATACGGAAAGCAGGGATGAGACTGTTAATAAAATAAACGGGCGGATGTGCAGGCATTGGCATCGAGTGCCACTGTTCAGGGTGGCCTAGATGGGGAAGAAGGTAGAGAATTGTTTCTCTTTGGTTTGGGGGTCAGGGTGACAAATCACCAAAGTCAAGTTAGACATTTTCTGAAATTTTGACACACTGAGACCAGAAGCTCACCATCACAGTTCACAGGGCATAATCCATATTCCTGTAATTGGCCCAGAGGGATAAATCACACATTCATACAGAGGGATAAATCACACATTCATACAGACCGATCTTATCTGATCAGTTTCCCTGTGTTGACCAAGCAGATGTTTCCCAGAAGCTGCCATCCATCTTGTGAGGGCAATCCTTCCCTGATCTTTCCACCACCATCGGAGCATCCTAAAAATGAATGATAAAGGAGAATATTTGTAGCTCAGGTTTAAAATCAGGGGTCCTCGGTGCTCGCCGAGCTTGGCTGTTTTCCCGCAGACGTTTGATAACCCAAATTAGGTAACACCATCAAACTAGCACTGACGATGTTACCTAGTTTGGGTAATGAAACGTTTGCGAGAAAACAACCAAGCTCGGAGAGAACCAAGGACCCCTGATCATAACTACATTAATTATGGGATAAATATGAGAAACTCCCAGTTTTGTGGGTGGTTTGATGCTTGCAGAAGTCAAGCTCCCCATTCAGTTGAAAGGGCCATGGAAATCAAGGACCATAGAGAGCTCCCAAGTGATGGGTTCTTCCTGGTTTCAGTTGTCCTCAGCGAGGACAATAGAAGGAAGTTGTCTTCTACAATCTGTGGTAACTTTAGTTTATCTGATGAAGCTATCCAGACTTGCTTTATCAGTCTCAGGGATCACAGTGCGAATCAGGACAGATTTCCCTTGGAGACTCCCATAGAAGGCTTCCACCATGTCCTGCAATAGCCAGGAAGCGACTTCTTTGAAATAATTGTACAGATACGGCTGACCAATTCCTCTGCAATTGATGTGTGTTGGCTTCCTTTTTGTGTCTGTGTATTTCCTCTCCCGCCTCTTCCAAATCAGCCAGTCCTCCAGAGAAATGAAAGCAGCTTCTCACGTTCTTCAAATGACCTGGAGCTACAAAGATTTAAGGAATGTTTTGCAAAAGGAAGGCTGGAATAAGTCTCATTTCCAGGTAAGGAAACCCATGCAGTCTCTAGCTGAGAATCGCAGTAAGAGCTGAGAGCCAGTTTGGTCTAGTGGTTAAGGCACCAAGCTAGAAAGCAGGAGACTGTGAGTTCAAGTCCCGCCTTAGCCATAAAAGCCGGCTGGGTGACTTTGGGCCAATCACCAGGTGATTGTGAGTTCTAGTCCCACCTTAGCTATAAAAGCCAGCTGGGTGGTTTTGGGCCAATCACTCTCTCTCAAACCAATGCACATCACAGGATGGCGGTTATGGGGAAAATAAGAGAAAGATGTGTTGGATATGTTTACCACCTTGAGTTATTTGTAAAAACAATAAAGGCAGGATACCATAGATAGACAGAGAGAGAGAGAGAGAGAGAGAGAGAGAGAGAGAGAGAGAGAGAGAGAGAGAGAGAGAGATAGATAGATGAAAGATGGATAGAGCAAGTAAGGATGGATGGATAGATGGACAGATAGATGATAGAAAGAAAGGAAAGAAAGAAAGAAAGAAAGAAAGAACGAACAGATAGGAATTGAGCTCACATTGGCCCCTGCAACATAGTCATTCCTTTGCATGGGCAAATAAAAACAGAATGCTATACTGCAAAATAATTTTACAACAATCCGTTTCCCACGTGAAGGAGATCCGGATTCCACAAGATCATTGGACGAGATAAAAGTATATCTGCATTTATAATCTGCATTCTCAGGTGCAGGGAAAATATTATCATGTCCTAGAGAAACCAGCTATGGGTTGTGGGAATGGGAGAGAGGTTTTTTTTCGAAGCGCGTATTTCACAACTGCTTTTCAGCATGGATTTTGCTTCCTGCTCTGTCGCTGATAATTACCTTTTTTTTTTTTTTTTTTTTTTAAATGTTCTAGTCTGCCTCAGCCACTGCGAAGGGATCCAAAAGCACCTCTTGTAAATCTGGATATGATGACAGCACGTTGCCTCTGGTGGATAAAAGTCAAGGTCTGTCCTCTTCCCAAGGGCATAATTGCGACTGGGTCCAAGTGAGACGAGATTTTATTTATTTAATTGCATTTCTGTGCCCTGGTGGTGCAAGGGGGTTAGAATGCAGTGCTGCAGGAAAATTCTGCCCACTGCCAGCAGTTCGATTCTGACCGGCTTTACCTTCCATCCTTCCGAGGTCGGTAAAATGAGGACCCAGATTGTTGGGGACAAAATGCTGACTCTGTAAACCAGTTAGAGAGGGGCTGTATAAAGCACTGTATAAGTCTAAGTGCTACTGCTATATCACTTTATGGGTAATGTTTTCTAGGCCATTCCCTAATCAGCACTCCCCAATCTTCAAGAATGATGTCTTGGACTTGGATCCCATACAAACCGAGTTCTATTTTTTCTTTTTTATAGATAACGAGAAGACCGGAAGCCGGGATATGATTCCAATGGATGAACTTGGACCAGGTAATGGTGGATAAAACCTATCCCAGTCACTGTTGATGCTGTAGTCAATTCTGGAGTTTCATGTATTCTCCGGGAGACGTTTACTCAGCAGAATGACTGTCATCCCTCCCCAATTTGTGTCTTTTCACATGGTAGTTAAGAGTAGCAGAACCTTGGCCAGGGGTAGGCCACCTTGGCTCTTTTATGACTCGTGGACTTCAACTCCCTGAATTCTGGGAGTTGACGTCCACGAGTCATAAAAGAGCCAAGGTGGCCTACCCCTGACCTTGCCAATCTGACTATGCTTAACTAAGCCTTCGCCCCTTGTACTCATGTGAATTAAGGAGGTGTCTATCTGAGCCAGCTGTTTTTGTTTGGATCTTAAGTGTCTATGGAGATTCTCAAACATCCAGATCATAGTTGTCCCGAAGATGCTTTTTTCAAGAGGCAACGGGACTTTCTTGTTTCTGGAGCTTAAGATACTGTATATTTGTTTCCCCTTGTCACTGATAACAGATCTGGCCTATCTCTAGCAAATCTTCCTTAATCTCCAACCTAACCCTCTAGTTGAGGTCTCCTTGTAACAAGGTTCTCAGCAATAGCATCCTTTTTGCAAGCCATTTTATAAGCCTCAAACCTTCCACTATGAATCACATCATGGGCTGTGTTTGCATTCCTAGAGACAAATCTGTTGTTTTGCCCAGGGCAAAATCTTGATACTTGAAGAGGTTTCGTAATGGGGGTGATAGTGGAGAAGGAGGAGAAGGTGATCAGGCAACAGTTAGATAAGAGGCAGCTTAGCCCACAGGAGACATGAGGCAGGGCAAAAAAAATCTCTAAAGGGACCCCCTTGTGAAAGTAAGGGTGGAGAAAAGCACTTTCAGACGTGTAAACTTACAATAAAGGTACTCATGATTGGTGTCTAGGGAGATTCTCAGTCCTCCAGTTCGTGGTTGTCCCAAATGTGCTTTTTCAGGAGACAAGTAGACTTTCTTGTTTTTCCTTGAAGACGTTTCGCTTCTCACTCAAGAAGCTTCTTCAGTTCTGACAGACTCATCCCCAACAGTGAAAGGACCCAAGGCAGAAAACATCCTGTAGCCAAGAAGGCTCCACATCCATTTGCACCACTCAGGTGATCTTGAGGACCCAGGTAAACCTCCAGGTGGCCTCAACGACTCTCTAAAAGGATGCAAATGACCAGCGGTCTGCAAGGAATGTAAATCCTTCCACTCCCCACCATCCAGTCAGAGCTGAGGAAGCTTCTGGGATGAGAAGCGAAACGACTTTTAAGAAAAACAAGAAAGTCCAGTTGCCTCTTGGAAAAGCACCTTTGGGACACTCGTGATTGGTGCTTCTTGTCTGGATGACTTCTAAGGGCTTTCACCAAGTTGAAATGGTGCTCATTTTGAGCCAGGCAACTGCTTTCTTTACAACCAGCTTCTGTTCCTCACAGATGGCTACTCCACCATCGATCACCGGGACAAGGAGCGGAAATACAAAACCAACGACAACATGGGAGACGCCTCGGAGAAAGAACCACTAAAGGTAAGCAGTTTTCTTTTGAGTCCGTTTCCTCCCAAAGCTATATTTGGTCTGCCCTGCATTTGCAGGAAGGAGTAAGACAGAGCATGTGTGCGCTTCTAAGCGGCCATCACTAGGAGTTGAGATGAATTGGAGAGGAAGCCATTTCCTGGTGGTCTTCACGGCACACTTCTGACAATCACAGTGTTGCAAGGAAGGCGTTGTTCCTTGTAAGACAGGGGCAAACTCTTCATATATATTTTATTTTATTTTATTTTATTTTATTATTTTGTTTATTTTTATTTATTTATTTTTATTTTATTTTACTTACTTTATTTTATTTTATTTATTTATTTTATTTTTATTTTTACCCCCCACCGACCTGTACGCTCTCACAGAGTGGGTCTCCTCAGGGTACCGTCGGCCAGACAGTGCCGGCTGGCGACCCCAAGGGGGAGGGCCTTCTCTGTGGGAGCCCCCACCCTCTGGAACNGTTGTTCCAGCAAGCGGGACTGGCCTAGGGGATTTTATAGGGGTTTTAATTACTTTTAAATTTGACATTCTTAAATATTTCATTTTAATCAAATTTTAACTAGGTGTAATATGTTAGCTTTTATCATTTGTCAGCCGCCCTGAGTCCGAAAGGAGAAGGGCGGGATATAAATACAATTAATAATAATAATAATAATAATTTTATTTTATTTGTTTATATTTATTTTTTATTTATTTATTTTTTATTTTATTTTACTTACTTTACTTATTTTATTTATTTATTTATTTATATTTTATTTTATTTGTTTATTTTATTTATTTGTTTGTTTTATTTATTTTTTATTTATTTCATTTATTTCATTTTTTATTATTTTATTTATTTGTTTGTTTATTTTATTTTATTTATTTATTTATTTCATTTATTTATTTATTTATTTATTTGTTTATATTTATTTTTTATTTATTTTTTTATTTTATTTTACTTACTTTACTTATTTTATTTATTTATTTATTTATTTATTTTTATATTTTTATTTGTTTATTTTATTTGTTTATTTTATTTTATTTTTTAATTTATTTCATTTTATTTATTTCATTTTATTTATTTCATTTTTTATTTTATTTATTTTATTTATTTTTTTGTTTATTTTATTTTATTTATTTATTTATTTCATTTTATTTATTTTATTTTATTTATTTTATTTATTTCATTTTTTATTTTTTTTAATTTATTTGTTTGTTTTATTTTACTTATTTATTTCATTTTATTTACTTCATTTTATTTATTTTATTTATTTTGTAATCCACTCATAGAAAATTTGCCACGGCATCTTATCTATCCCCCAGAATCATCCCCCAAATTATAAATAGGTCAAATATGGGTCAAATATCAGGTGCAAACTCTCTGTGTCGAACCTGGTATGTGCAACCTCTCTCAGGCTGACAACCACATTCGGCCTTGAACTCGTGGCCCAACCCTTTGTAAGTGTTCATTTGGTCTGGTGTCCACCAAGCAGGAAATATTGGTGAGGTGTCTATGCCATATTTCGCTCTCTGGCTAAACTGGCTACAGCCACTGTGGGAACACAGAAAAGTCTAGCACTTATTCCGATGCATGCACACGTGTACATGGGAATTTAATGCTGTTGATTTCCAGTATTTGTTCATGAATATAGGTATTCCTCGACTTACTGTTCAAAGTGACAGCAGCACTGGAAAAAAAGTGATGTAGGACCGGTTTTTTCCACACATTAACCTGTTGCGTTTTGCCTTTTTAATGCCCCCTCGCCCCGTTGCAGCATTCCCCCGCAGACACGTGATCAGAATCCGGATGCTTGGCAACCGACTCCTCGTATTTATGACGGTTTGCAGCGTCCCGGGGTCACGCAAGTCCCCTTTTGTGACCTTCTGACATGCAAAGTCAACGGGGGACACCGGCTTCGCTTAACAGCCGTGTGACTAACTTAACTCCTGCAGGGATTCAGTTAACTCTCGTTTAGCAACAGAAATTTGGGGCTCCCTTGCGGTCGTAAGTTGAGGACTACCTATATCCAGCCACGTTTTGCGTGTCAGCCATGCTCCTCTGATCTGCTCGGCCTTCCCAGTTACGATTGAAGTTTGTCACAGACCAGCCACAGATCCTCGGATCCTCCATTTCTCTTTCTCGTGATTCCCTGTCTCAGCAACTAATGCTTCCTGCAGACCTTTTGAACAAACGTGTGCGTTTGCTGGTTCCGTTTAATCGATTAATCTGTTGTGTGTTTTGCCTCTTTAACACCCACCCCCCCTCACCCCGCTGCAGAATGACACAAATAGGAAAACGCTTAACAGGAGCAATAGGCCTTCGGTGACTTTGGTGGACACGCGAGATTCTAAACCCCAGCCTGTTGACTCCTGGGTCTAACATTGCATGTATGGTAGGTTCGTGGTTGTTTTTTTTCCCCCACAATCGTTGGCCCCGGTGATTAACTTGTCTCCGTTTCAGCATGACTTCACATCGTGGCTTGTTTTTTCTCTCCCCGTCGGTCGGGCTCCTTTCGAGACAGAGGCAGATGTGTAAAGAAGGCAACGGAGAGACCTTGGGGGCACAGGGGTTAAGAATGCAGCATTGCAGGCTAACTGACTGCCCACAGCCAGGAGTTCGATCCTGACCGGCTTAAGGTTGACTCAGCCTTCCGTCCTTCCGAGGTCGGTAAAATGAGGATCCAAATTATTGGGGGGGGACAACAGAGGCTGACTCTGTAAACCCCTTTAGAGAGGACTGTAAAGCACTGTGAAGCGGTCTATAAGTCTAAGTGCTTTTGCTTTTGTGATGATAGATGATGATAGATACAGTAGATAGATAGATAGATAGATAAATAGATAGATAGATAGATAGATAGATAGATAGATAGATAGATAGATAGATAGATAGATAGATAGATAGATAGATAGATGATAGATAGATAGATAGATATTTTTTTTTCATTTTATTGAATTTATACCCCGCCCTTCTCCCGGAGGACTCAGGGCGGCTTACAGCCAGTTTAAAACAATGATACAAAACAATACAAAATTTAAAAATGATTAAAAATAAATATTCAAATTTGGCCGCTTCTACTAAAAATTTGATTAAAACCAATTTAAAATAGATAGATAGATAGATAGATAGATAGATAGATAGATAGATAGATAGATAGATAGATAGATAGATAGATAGATAGATAGATAGATAGATAGATAGATAGATAAGAGGCAAGGTCAGGCAAGGTAAGGTAAGGTAAGATAAAGTGAGGTGAGATTAGATAAGATAAGATAATATAAGATAGAGAGAGAGAGCAGATAGAGAGAGATTATAGATAATAGAGAGGGGGTACAGAGAGAGAGACAGAGGAAAATAGATGATAAACTATATAGATAGATAAAAAATAAATGATAGGTAGGTAGGTAGGTAGGTAGGTAGGTAGATAGATAGATAGATAGATAGATAGATAGATAGATAGATAGATAGATAGATAGATAGATAGATAGATAGATAGATATTGAGCAGATAGAGAGATGATAGATGATAGAGAGAGGTGCGAGAGAGAGAGAGAGATGATAAATGATATAGATAGATGATAGAAAGATAGATCTGGAAGGGACCTTGGAGGCCTTCTAGTCCAACCCCCTGCTCAAGCAGGAGACCCTAGACCATTCCGGACAAACGGCTGGCCGATCTTTTCTTTTAGCGATGGAGCATCCACAGCTTCTGGAGGCAAGCCACTCCATTAGTTAATTTGTTCTAAAGTGTGACTTTGTGACCAAGTGGACTTTCCTTCTCCCGATGGTAAGGCTGGTTAGGCCTCTCTCCTAACACACGAGGGACATTCCCCAACTTTCCACGTGTACAGAGCACATAAGGATCTGGGACGTCATGAAAAATCACCGGGCTGAGCTACCAGGATATATAGTAGCTTGTACAAGGAGCATCCGTGCGATAGAAAAAGCGACTTGAAAATAAATCACAAGTGTTTTGAAATGAGAGGAGAGGCTGGATTTGCACAATTAACCTCGTAAGGGGCATCTCTTGCTATGGGGATAGAATTAGGGGTTGGGATTATTGCTTGAAGAAGGAGAGGATACTCTACATCAGGGGTCCCCAACCCCCGGTCTGTGGACCAGTACCGGGCCGCGGCATACCAGCAACCGGTCCGCACAAACAAGCAAAGCCCCATCCGCGGGATGCAGGCAGCACACAAAACCACGCACTCTCCGGTCTGCGGAAAAACCTCTCTCCACGGAACCGGTCCCTGGTGCCCAAAAGGTTGGGGACCTCTGCTCTACCTGCTCATTTTGGGTGGGTGGGGGGCTGGCATTGTTCTCTCTTCCCACCTGTTGGCTGCAAAGCTTACCTCGCCACCTCTGTTCTTGAAATTAACCCTTCCTTGGTTTGCCTTCTTTCTGCAGGGCTAAACTCCAGCTGCTTGTTTTACGATTCTCGTTCTCCATTGTTTCCCTCGATTCAAAGAAGACTCTCAACACAGACACACCCAAACACAAACATACAAACTCGAAAGGTTTACAATGAACCCATCACTGCCATTCTGACTGCAGAATCGGTGAAACCAGCCAGAGCTGCAGACTTGAAGGTTGAGGAGAAGAGCCATCAACTGTAATCTGGAGGGCTCACTCGTGCCCGGGACCGTTCTTCTCCTTTGGAAGGACATCTCCCCTTCCCATTCCAGGAAAAAGGAAAAAAAGGAAGGCAAAAACGGAAAACTGTTCTCTCTCTTTCTCTCTCTCTCTCTCTCTCTCCACCTCCCCGGCAGAAGGAATCACCATTCCAAAAGAGAACGGCAAGTTTAGGTCAACCGGCTTTGGTTCTTCATGGATTCTTCAGGCATAGATGGTGCCAAGTTGGTAGAGGAAGGTCGAAAGAAGAGAAAAGGGGAGGTGGGGACGAAAGAAAGAACCGAAAAGGGGTTCTGAATGAAAATCTCCAGGATATTTGATATGATAAGTATAGTTGTTATTAAAAAAGGCACTTTTTTCTTCCTTCCTTCCTTCCTTCCTTCCTTCCTTCCTTCCTTCGTTTCTTCCTTCCTTCTTTCTTCCTTCTTTCTTTCTTTCCTTCCCTTCTCTCCCCCTCTTCTTTTCTTCCTTCTATCCCTCCCCTTCCTTCCTTCCTTCTTTTCTTCCTTCCTTCCTTCCTTTTCTCCTTGTCCCTTACTTCCTCCCTCCCTCGTTCTCTCCCCCTCCTTTTTCTTCCTTCCTTCCTCTCCTCCCTCCCTCCCTCTTTCTCCTTCTTTCTTTCTTTCTTTCTTTCTTTCTTTCTTTCTTTCTTTCTTTCTTTCTTTCTTTCTTTCCTGTGAATTTTTAAAAGAGAAAACCAAGATTGAGGGTGATGGGTTTTTCTTTTCCCATCTCCCCGTTTTTGTTTTTGTTTTTGATGGGCTGTTGTTGAAGTTTTCATTTTGATCCTCGGGGGAAGCACACAGAGGTTGTGCCGAGTCGGGAGGGTTTTTGATGAAAAGAGAGGAAGAAAAACCAAACGCAAACGAACGTTGGGCTGTCAGGCTTGGAAAAAAAAGAAGGAAGCCAACATGGACATGAGCGCCAGTCTGCTTTTCCAGTTAAGGGCATCCCACGGTGCTTATCTCTTATTATCCTCGGTGTACAATTCATCTCCCTTTCTGGATTCTGCCCTGGTTTTGGACACAGGAACCGATGTAACAAAGGCTTCGATTGCAGTTTTACTCTTCCGAAAAAGAAAGAAACAGAAATCTCAACTCACCAGAGCTGATTTTTCCCGGTTGACGATGTCGTTCTTAATTTCCAGTCGGTTCTAATGTCCGATGAGATTCCAGCTGGTTTAATTTCCCTCATCCTGAGCCACATCGACCATCTACCACGGACAGCGCTTCTGATTTAAGAAGGGCCTTTATTTTAAGGTCAGATCGAACCCCAAACGGTCAATTCTTTCTGGGGTTTTCTTCAGGAACCGCTCCCTTCCATCTCCTGTGTTTTATTTTCACTCTGCTTTTAACAAAGATATATGTATATATATACACACACACATACACACACACACACAAACACATACTTGCTGTTGATTGGTTTTTAAAAAAAACAAAGAAAAGAAAAAAAAATTAAAAGAACACAAAACTACCCGTGTCTGGAGAATAGCAGGCCGTCTTCGGAGGTCATCCCACAGGCCTGAAGAGTAAATTCCATCAAACTTAAAAAGGTTTGTAGTCTGTAATTAGGGTTGTATACGTGAGGAAAAACTGACATTCGTGTGTGGAAAACGCTTGTCTCCGGTTTCATGGCCCTCTGGAACTCAGTCGAGGCATACAGCCCTTCATTTGGTGACCGTTTGAAGCCACAACGGCAGTGAAAAAGAGACTTCTGGTTGTGTGTCCATCTTTAACAACCATTGCCGCATCTCTTATGCCCTGTGTACAGGTAGTCTTTGTCTTACAACCACAACTGAGCCCCAGATTTCCATGGCTAAGACAAGCAAGTGAGGTTTGCCCCATTTGACAACCTTTTTGCCACCATTGTTAAGTGAATTGTGCAGTTGTTGAGTCAATCTGATTTTGCTTGTCAGGAGGTTGCAAATGACCCCGGGACCCTGCAACCGTCATAAATAGGAACCAGTTGCCAAGCATCCGAATTTTGATCACGTGATCTTGGGGACCCTGCAACCATCATAAGTACATGCCAGTTGCTAAGCGTCTGAATCTTGATCACATGACCAAGGGCAGGGGTAGGCAACCTTGGCTCTTTTATGACTCGTGGACTTCAACTCCCAGAATTCCTGAGCCAGCCACGCTGAGGGGAAAGGGAGAGGTTTCCAAGCTGAGCCATGCTGGCTCAGGAATTCTGGGAGTTGAAGTCCACGAGTCATGAGGGGGCCCATAGTTCCCCCATGCTGGCTCAGGAATTCTGGGAATTGAAGTCCACGAGTCATGAGGGGGCCCATAGTTCCCCCATGCTGGCTCAGGAATTCTGGGAGTTGAAGTCCATGAGTCATGAGGGGGCCACAGTTCCCCCATGCTGGCTCAGGAATTCTGGGAGTTGAAGTCCACGAGTCATGAGGGGGCCAAGCTTGCCTACCCCTGACCATGGGGATGTGGCAACAGTTGTGAGGGTGAAACACAATCAGAAGTCCCATTTTCGTTGCGGTTGTGACTTCAAACGGTCACTAAATGAATGATGGTAAGTTGAGAACTTACCTGTAGTGGTCTTTTGAGTTTTAACCAGGTTAATTTCGTTGGGGTTATGTCTGTGGTAAGAAAACAAAAGCTGGATTTTCATTTTCATTTCATTTTATTTTATTTTTGATTCCGATGGCTTCTCTCTTTCATGGTTGCTGAAAGAATTATTTGGTTGCCAATATTTACTGAAAGTGTGTGGTTTTTTGGAAAGCACATTTCTTGGGGG